CTGATGGATTTTTCCTGCAGCACTTTTCCGGTAGAATCTTTGGAGACCCTACATTATAAATATAGGCAGCCTGAAACTCTTAGCTACTGCCTTTTCTGGTACCCTGTTCTTCATGAGCAGATGAGTGAAGCTGACTGCCTTCTATGTCATTCACCTGGCTCCAGTGGGTTTGTGAGCAGCTTTGTTGGGTCCTTAGCTTCAGCCTCCTCCTCATAAGCACTAGGTGCTAGGTTGTATGTCCTCCATGTTAGGACATGCATTTTAGATATCTGCCAAGAACTCTGCTATGCCACACCCTCTGGAGCACCTTGGTACCTACCGTTGCATCTCTGCATCTGAGAGTGAGATGCCAACTGTCCTTCTTGCCATAAAACTTCTCTAAGGGTGATTCTTTTGGTTTTTTTTTCTTTTCTTCTTTTTCTTTTTTTGGTTTTTCTCTGTATTGTTTTGGAGGCTGTTGGACCAGCCCGGCCTCGAACTTACAGAGATCCGCCTGCCTCTGCCTCCTGAGTGCTGGGATTAAAGGTGTGTGCCACCACCACCCGCTAGGGTGATTCTTTTCACACTTTTCTCCCCAACACTTTTATATTTGGAAACAAGGCTGCCTCAATGTTAAATGTTGAATGACTTTGTTTCTCTCAAATGGAGCTCTAACCTTTCTGAAGCAAGCTATTGGAGTATTAGATTCATTATAGCGAGCAGTTCTCATGTGGGGTCATCAACTTCCTCTCCCCGGGATGCATTGCTATCTAGCTTTGTCCTCAGATTTGGGGTTTCATACAGAATTCTTTTCTTAGAGTTTTTTAATTTCCTCATAAGAAACCGCATTGAAAACACACACACACACGACATACACACACACACACACACACACACACACACACACACACCAATATCAGTGAGTTTGCAAGACTAAAAGTCAGAATCAAGGCCTGCCTCTTTTCCAGGTTTATGTTCTTTTTCATATTCCACAGTATCTTTTTCTAAATAAAATATACCATGGATCATGAAGGAAGACCTAAGTCTCACCCTTTTAATATAAAGTTTGGAAAAGTGTGAGAGACTTTCCTAAGAGACCCTGTGGATAACTCAGGGTCCCAATGGGAATCTGGTGATCACACAATGGAGACAATCTCAAAGCACATTCAAAAGCAGATTGTGGTAGTTGGTGTGGACAACTAGAGTTCTTCGTATTGAGTAAAATAAGTTGGAATCAGAAACAGGAACATTCCATGGTTTGTCTCATATGAATGATATATGTGTATTGTACATAATATGGGTCTACAATACGGAGACGGAAGAGAGACTATATGGGGGAGAGAGAGGCTTAAGGGGACCCTTTTCAAACATATATGGAAGTATACGGGGGTACTCTTTGTGAGGAGGAAGAGGAAAGGGCCATCAAAGAGAGGACAGAAGGAGGAGACAATAGTAATAAAGGCAAGTGAGATAAATTTACACAGGAGAGACACACATGAAAATAGCATAATGGGATTCATCATTTTTAATAGTAATTTAAAATCAACAGTGACAACAAAAACTAAGTCACACAAAAAATATGTGGACAGCCTTACAAAGCCGCAGGGAGACGTGGCATCCAGCACTAGCTAGCAGTGGTGCTGCCCCATGGAACTATGGGAGAGGGAAAGAGAAAAGTACGTCATCAAAAGGATTCTTGGGTAGGGCAGAGACTTCAGGTGGCAGGATGAAGCTAGTCCCAAGTTACACCTCAGTGAGGAAGCTGTCCCCTCGAGGCAAGCCTGGTATGGAACCAGAGGCCAGCAGAGTTTGTGGGAGGTATTCCCATGAGTCCATCTTTCTCGGCAGTGGGCGGGAGAGTGAGTTTGACCCACACATCCGGTAATAGCGGAGGTGAGCTTAGAAACTGTGGTGTGGGAGGAGGTGCCAAGCCTCAAGCAGCATTTTGTTGATTTTGTCTTCATTTGCTTTGTGTCTTTTGTTTTCCTTTTTTCTTCATCAACAGTGTTAGGCAAGGACTTTACTTATCAGCTTCCACTTCAAATATCCAAGAACACTTGGCCAAACGTTTTCACAGAATCAACACATGGAAGTCCGGCTGCAGAGAAACTTCAGATTCCTGGGGATGGGTGAGGAAAGGGAGAAATACACACACGGGTTTAACCACTTTGAAGGGAGCTAGTGCAGACAGTTTTGTAGAGATGGGACAATTCTTGTGTCTCGTAACTTCTCAGTCATGAGCCTCCTACTCCATCCCCAAGTCTTTCCATGAGTGACAGGCAGCACCCGAGACAGGACATAAGCCCAGATCATCTGCCAGCTGGCCCATTCTGGTGTTCTTTTTCATATATGAGAAGACAGCAGGATGAGTACAGTCCATTTCATATAACCCATTGTCAAGGCTCATAGAAGTGAATCCATTCTGTATTGACTTAAGGTCAGAGAGTTCAAACCTAACCTTGCTCTTTCAAGGTTAAAGACCTAAGATTTAGGTCTAAGGTGTGACTACTGAAGGATGTTTGGCCCTAAGATATGGTCATTGGATGTCTTGCCTAGATGACAGAATACTTGATCTAAGGTGTGGTTATTAGATGCTTTGAGAATTAAGGAAGCAATTACATTTGTTTGTTCCCGGTATCATTGGTAAGGAAGTCCTTTCTCCATCCCCCCCTTTTGGTTGGGGTATATAAAGACTTGAGCAATAAATTTAGGGCAGATTGTGGTATTCACTGGGTGCCCTCCTGGCTCTATCTTCTGTCTCTAGCCTGTTTCTGTCCTCAATCCGCACAACCCTTCTCAGGTACAAACCAGACTAGTGACCTGGAATGAACACCCCGTGTTTCTCTTCATCGATCTATTACTGAAATAAAGTATTTTTTCTTTCAGGGTGCTCAACAACACTCCAGGTATTTCATTGCTCCCTTGTAGTTTCATCTCTTTTGCTTGTCCATTACAGCATTCACCGTGAGTGGATTCTTAAGGCTGGATTTGGCTTAGACTTCTTTTTGAGGCCAGAGACTTTATGATTGGTTCTGTGTTTCACATGACAGCCCAAGCTCATTTCTCATGAGAATGCATGAATTCATCAGTGGACTCAGATGGTGTGTGGGACTCTTAGTCATCCTTCTGTTGGATCCACACAATACTTCATGAGAAAGGAATCCTCAGCCTCACTAACCAAACCAGGAAACTGAGGTTCTGAGAGTCCCAAGGATGATCCAAGGTAATTCAACTCTTGAGTGTCAGAGTGGAATGCGAGTTGGGTGCTGTGGGCTCTGACTCAGGGTTCAAAATGACTGTGCGGTTCTAGAAGGCTTTCTTCCATTTCTCCTCAGCACATTCTTACCCGACAGCCCCTAGATCTTTTGATTCTTGTTTGTACTCTGTTTGTAAATGTGCATTTACACATTTAACTTGAGAGGCAGGGCTGGGGGAAGGGCCAAAAAGGGGGAGGGGGTGTTCTTGATGCCACCAAGCCATAGAGGAAAGAGGCAGCAATAAGACTAGCGGAGAAAGATCCCCAGGGTCACCTCCACCTGCCAAATAGAGGCGTGGTTCCCACTGTGGCAGAATTCCTGCGGTTCTGTACCATTGAGTAACCAGGCCCTACCCTCATGAAGGACAGAGTGAAGTTCCTCAAGAGTGAGTTTGTTGTTGTGAGGACGGGTTTTTGCTGTGACAAGTCTTTTCTCACACACACAAGCCTTCTGCACACATCCACTTCCCCTCTGGTGTTCCTCAGTGTGTGGACCAACAAAGAACTCCCACCAAAAGCAGATCAGACAGCCCAGCACATTCTCGAACTTCCAGAACTAGGGAGGGATAAGTAAACCCCTTTATCTTATCAATTAGCAGTCTTGGGTATTTCATTTTGGAAACAACACATTCATGCCAAAATTGGATCAAGACAGTAATCTATAAAGGTGTGCTCGGTTTTATTTTAGTGAAAGCCAAAGTAGTTTAAGGAAAAGGGCTAATTAATGTGCTTAAATCACAAAACTATGAGAAAGGCCAGAGGTAAAGGCCAGAGGCCAGCTGGCCTCTGGGGACCATAGGATGGAAGCCTCAGAATTCTGTGGAAAATTCTGCCTAGTTCCCAGCTCTCACTTTTCATGTGTGCCGATTTCTTATTTTATGCTCATGGTTCCACAGAATAAGAATTAAGGCTACAGGCTACTCATGTTTCTCGTATGGACTTTCTTTCAGTGGAAAAAACTCCAGGGAAGAGCACTTATTGGATGGGCTGGGACCTATCTCTATAGTCAGGAAACAGTGACCCATGGTACCCACACACTCTCTGTGGCCAGGCTGACAGGATCTCTTCCTACAAGAAAGAAAGAAACCAGGGAATGGGAAGACTGTGGGTTGGGGAGATACTTCAGTTTTGGGCATGTAGGTGCACATGGTACATGTGTACATGTGCCCACACATGCACATACAAGCAAGAGGACAATCTTGGAAGTCAGGCGTTGTCCATGGTGGGGGTGGGTGGAAATGGGGGAGCTGTTATCCCTGGGCTGGGATAGCAAGTGCACAATTTTTTTTAATGCGTGTTCTGGGGGATTGAACTCAGGTCCTCATGGTTGCAAGGCAATCACTTTATAACTGAGCTTTCTCCCCAAGACTCTATGCACATTTGATAAGTACAAAAGGCAGTTGACAATATTTAAACACAGTCTTTCATGTGACAACAAGAACAAACCGTGGGGGAGAGACGCTGACATCTGTCAAATTCTCACGTGTGTTACGTAATCCCCCCACGCACCATGTGTGCAGTTTGCTTCACACGGAGGTAGCATAGACTCGGTGTTTATCTTTTTCCAAAGAATAATCCAAGACTCAAGGTAATTAAAGGGTCCACTCAGGACCCAAACAAAAAACAAAAGACATTCCTAGGTAAAAGGCACACACGTGCCCTATGTGCTGTTTTTACAACTGTCTGGTGAATTTAAAATCATTCTGAAATGAGAAGTTTGTTAAAAATGCATTGCTCCCAAGTCATATCAGTAAAGCACACTTAGTGGCATTGTCTGAAGGTGAGGTTTATTATTGACCACAGCAAAGAGGCCTCTGGAACTCTGAACAGGATGGGATAGACTGACCTGCATACTTGTGGTCTCCAAAAGATAGAGCACTGAAACCAACTCCCCTCCCCCTGATAGCACCAGGGCAGGCCGACAGAAGAGGTCTGCTGTGGGAAGGGGGCAGGTTCAGATGAGCTCACGAGGCTGGAAGGGCCATGATGCCACTGCTCTTCTTATCAGAGGAAGAGTTGCTGGGGCTCCATCACCAAGAGAGACACAAGGTGTCTTCTACCTGTGAGTTCAGAAAAGATCCTACTCTGGAAACTTAGCAGCACGCGGTAAATTCCTCCTTTCACCATCCATTCTAACGTTCTGTTTCAGCACCCCACCCTAAGAAACAGGGGCAGACAAACCCCATTATAGGTGGTCAGTTAAAGGAACAAAACCCTAACATAAAATTTCAGGCCTGTGAGACAATGGCTATTTTTCTTTTTTGTCCTCTCAAAGTTCAGTGTCGACCCAGGTAACCTTTTCCCCAATGCACATCCTACTGGTGTGCTTTTCTTTCCGACGGACATTTCTGTAGCTGATTTCCTTTGGTGCCTCATTTGTATTAACAGTCTAGGATTAGGCTCTACAGCACTCATGGCTCCGGGCTCCCGAGAATGCTGCCCCAGCTCACTCCAGTGCTTCTCATCTGCTGCTGGCTTCCCTTTGTCCTCTTAGCAACAGCACATAGCAGGCAAAGGCTTGCTAATCTCTAAGGGCTGCCTAGCCTCTGCTGAGCTTCTTAGGTAACTTATGGGAAGTAAAAGATGACTCCTTTACTCCATCAAGCCTTTGTGGGTGATAAAACTCCGCAACCCTTGGACATGATGGATCCTCATTGTCGCCAACAGCATCAGCTACTAGTGTGATTGGGCTTTGTTTGACCAATTGAGAGGCAAGGAAAAATCTGTGTTAGGTCTTACACCCAGGACAAATGTCACTCAATGCTTCTCACCTTGTCCCATACCCTAAACCTCTCCCTCCATGGGGCGTCCCTTCCCCCAGCCTGATCTTTATACGACTCAGCCCTTTTGGCTACTCTGGTCTCTTGATGTCTTTCCTGGCCTGCCTCTCATAGTGGGTGTCTTCTCTCTCACTCTCTCTCCGGCTCAACTCTCAAGGTCTGGTGTAGCCTTCTGGACATGTTCAGCCTGAAGTCTTTTCTCTGTCTTCTTTGTCCCTTACATCTACACTAAAAATCTTCTGCATACTTTAGGAGTGGTCATGTCCTCCTTTTATTTCATGTTTGTGTTTAAATTGGAGGGTATGTACCATTACTCTTTCTCTTTCCAGGACAGGGAAGAGCATTTCTTCTAAGACATAGGTGCAAAAAGATCTCCGGATTCCTATTGGGAAACAGTAATCTTGACTTGCCCTGGAATGAGGATTTTCCTGGATGAATAATTCTAAGAACTAGATCTAGGCCAGTGACCGGCAAACTAAGAGAGTTGTCCTTCCAAATAAGAGCTTTTAGAGCAATAGTCCAAGATGACAGGTTACAAAATATATCCTTTCTTTGGGAAGTTTTTGTGGGTCCTTATAAGGCAAATATGTTAAGACTCGGGCATTATGCTGGCCTGGCCCTGTCACCCTGGCAGAATGCACTCAGAGAGAACACTGGTCAGCTCAGGGTTCCAGGGTTTCCACACAGGTGCAAAGGACCCCTTTAAGAGACAGACCTCTGCACACTTACTCTCTTTTTCCCGCTCTCTCTTCCCACTCTTCCTCTGGGGCAGACAGGGCTTTTCCTGTCTCCCTCTTCTCTTCTGTCCTCTGTGTCTCTTTACCTCTTTTCTCTTTCCTTCCCCCTTCCCTCCTCTTTTCTAATAAAACTTCCCACTTAACCTCTGTCTGCCTGGCATGTTTCTCCCTCAGCCTCGGTAACTCTCGCCTGCCATGGAATCCGCCAAGGCCCCCCAAGGAAGACCCCCCATGAGCTTTATCATAACACAATGTATTGCCAAGGATGACTGGGGTGTAACTGCTTGGATGGGCTTGAGGCACGGGGAGAAGAGCAAATTCCAGACTTACCGGAACACTTATGAGTAAACCCTGGTGCACAACAGTTAAGAAAACCAAGATTAAATCACTCACCTTTCCTACCTTGGTTTTGCCATCCTCCACGCCGGAACACTGCTTGGTTAAAACAGTGACTCAGGAGATACTCTGAGTCTTCTCCAAGGCACCTTCAAAGAAGTTGTTTGGTTTCTGTTGATATTATGAGCAGTCTGGATTCTTAGTCCTGCCTCTGGGCTCCAGGTAATTTGATTCCTCATCTGTAAGTGGACAAAGAGGCATTTCCCTTATTGAGGGCTTCTGGGGGATTGATAGACAGGGCATGTATGCAGTATACAGGAGACGCAAAGAAGGTTCTTTGTCAGTTCCTGAGGTGTTTGGGGCTCACAGTCTTCTCATCTCATGCTTCACTCCACTAACAAAACATGAGGCCACTGGACTTAGAAGTTGCATCTTCATCTTGGATATGTCGTCAATGAGGGTCTTCAGTTAGTAGCATTCTGTTTAAACAGGGGCTCTGGAATCTCAAACTTGTTTTGAGTTGCATTTCCCTGATGGCTAAGGATGTTGAGCACTTTCTTAAGTGTCTTTCAGCCATTTTAAATTCCTCTATTGAGAATTCTCTTTTTAGTTTTGTACCCCACTCTTTAATTGGATTGTTTGATATTTTGGTGGCTAGCTTCTTGAGTTCATTTTATATTTTGGAAGTCAGACCTCTGTAGGATGTGGGGTTGGTGAAGATCTTTTCCCATTCTGTGGGCTGCCTTTTTGTCTTGCTGCCTGTGTCCTTTGCCTTACAGACGCTTCTCAGTTTCAGGAGGTCCCATTTATTAATTGTCAATCGCAGTGTCTGTGCTATTGGTGTTATGTTCAGGAAGAAGTCTCCTGTACCAATTAATTCAAGGGTACCCCCCACTTTCTCTTCTAAGAGGTTCTGTGTGGCTGGATTTATGTTGAGGTCCTTGATCCATTTGGACGTAAGTTTTGTGCATAGAGATAGACATGGATCTATCTGCAGTTATGCCAGCATCATTTGTTGAAGATGCTTTCTTTTTTCCATTGTATAACTTTAGCTTCTTTGCCAAAAATCAGGTGTTCCGTAGGTGTGTGGGTTAATATCATGGTTTTCAATTTGATTCCATTGGTCTACCTGTCTGGTTTTGTGCCAATACCAAGCTATTTTCAGGACTATAGCTCTATAATAGAGCTTGGAGTCAGGAATGGTGATGCCTCTGGAAGTTCCTTTATTGTACAAGTGTTTTTTGTCTATCCTGGTTTTTTATGCTGTCCAGAATGGTTAAAATCAAAAACACCAATGACAGTCTATGCTGGAGAGGACATGAAGAGGAACACTCCTCCATTGCTGGTGGGAGTACCAACTTGTACAACCACTTTGGAAATCAGTATGGCAGTTTTTCAGGAAAATGGTAATCAGTCTACCTCAAGATCCAGCAAATCCACTCTTGGGCATATTCATACAACAAGGGCATATGTTCAACTATGTTCATAGCACCATTATTTGTAATAGCCAGAACCTGGTAGCAACTTAGATGGTCTGCAACCAAGGAATGGATAGAGAAAATGTGGTACACTTATACAAAAGAGTATTACTCAGTGAAAAAAAAAGCAATGAAATCTTGAAATTCGCAAGCAAATGGATGGAACTGGAAGAAAACATCCTGAGTGAGGTAACCCAGTCACAGAAAGACAATCAGGGTATGTGCTCGCTCACTCATATATGGATTTTAGACATAGTGCAAAGGACTACCAGTCTACTACAATCCACACCACGAGAGAAGCTAGGAAACAAAGAGGACTCCAGGAGAATAACACATGGTCTTCTGAAGAAGGGGAGGGGAACAAGAACCCCTGAGCAAATTGGGAGCATGGGGGGGTGGAGGGAGGTGGGAAGCAGAGAGGAAAAGAAGGGGAGTGGGGTGGAGAACAGGAGTGATCAGCAGGACTGAGACAGGGGAGGAATAGAGGAGGGCAAGAACGGAGATGCTTTGATAGAGGGAGCCAGTATAGGTTTAGAGAGAGGTCTGGCACTAGAGAAATATTCAGGGTTCCACTTCAACTAAGAATCTAGGCAGTGGCGGAGGGGCTGCCTTTGATGCCCTTCCCCTATAATGAGATTGATGACTACCTTGATTGCCATTCCTAGAGCCTTCAACCAGTAGCTGATGGAAGCAGAAACAGGTACTCACAGCAAAACACTGAGCCTCACTCCTGGAATCCAGGTGCAGAGAGGGAGGAGGGATGAGCAAAGGAGCCAAGACAGTGCTGGAGAAACCTTCAGAAACAGTTGACCTGACCTAGTAAGAGCACAGAGACCCCAGTCATAAAGCTGGAGAACCAGCATTGGACCGAACCAAGGCCCCTGAAGGTGGGTGCCAGCTGGGAGGCCTGGGCAGTCTATGGGGACCTCTAACAGTGGAGCCAGTGTTTATCCTTAGTGCACAAATGGACTTTGGGAATCCATTCCCTATGGAGAAATACTATTGCAGCCCAGATACACGAAAAAGGGCTAAGGCCCTCCCCAAAATGATGTGACAGACTTTGGTGGTCCCCCAAGGAGAGCTTTACTATCCTTGGAGAGTGGGTGGGGGGTGGGTTGGGGAGGTCGGTGGGAAGCATGGGAGGATGGGATGGGCGAGGGAACGGGAGGATTGATATGTAAATTAAGATTGTTTCTAAAATAAAAATTATAAAAAAAAAAAGGATTGATATTTGGGAGAGAAAGGCAGAGAATCTGCTGTGGAGGCAGTAATCCCGAAGGAGTGTCAGTCATGTTTTGACAAGTGCAATAATAATTGAAAGGAGCAAGCTTGTTTTCAGAATTATTCCTTCTGCAGCCCACATGGTGGCTTTGTTCTCACTCTTTCCAATATGCCCACTCACGGACAGTCAGTCATTACTGAACAAGCGAGCAGATTGGAGGTATTTTAGGCACAATAGAACAGAGGCCGCACAACACTACTCACCCCCGAATCCTTCAAATGTTTTCATTCTTCTCTTACATACTTCTCTTTCTTTCAGGATTGCTTAGGATTCTAATCATTAAAAAAAACAATATTGCTCATCCCTCAGTCTTTGTGGTTGTGTTAGTCATGTGTTCCCTAAAAGATGTTTTCCTCTCATTCCTGGACACACAGCTAGACTGAGTTTCCCAGACTCCTTTGCAGTTAGGTGCAGCCACAAGACTAATCTAAAAGTGGGACGTGGGTAGAGGGGATACCTTCTGATGACACTGCTCCTAACATCCTGGGTCAAGTCTCTCTTCCGCCCTCTGCTGGCTGGATGTTGCTAGTGTACCTATCTATCCAGTACCTCTGAGCATCCTTCTTCCTTTTGTACTTCCCTAGTGCTAGGATTAAAGGCATGGGATCCCAAGTGCTGAGATCACCTTTGTGTGATCTCTGTGTCTCTTTTAGACTGGATCAATTTCATGTAGCTCAGTGTGGCCTTGAACTAACAGAGATCCATCTGCCTGTCTTCTGAGTCCTGGGATTAAAGATGTGGGCCACGACTGCCTAGCTCTATGGCTTGTGGCTAGCTTAGCATTCTGGACCCCCCAGGAAAGCTTTAATAAATCATAAACAATATGTCACCACGCCCATTCCCACCCTCCCTGGATGATTTCTCCATGTCCGGTATTGCGTTCCTTTCATTCTACATCTTTCAATAGTGATGACCACCACCGGTGTCAGGGTGCTGTTTTCAGACTTGTAGGCTCAAAACCCATGTAGTGCTTAGCAAAGACTCCTTCAATAACAAAAATAAAACAAAAAACCCTGATCCCTTTAAAAGGAGGAGTAGGTTGCATGATTTATTTTCTGTCAATGAATGTATACTTTGACGTTTAGGACTCTGTGGAAACCAAATGGGAGAGTGAGCTCCTATTTAAAAGATTTGGGGTTTACCTCCCATGTTTCTAATGGAAACTAAGGATATCTAATTTAACTGGGAAATCAAGGAAGCCTCGAGTTTGAAAGGCCAAGAAGGCATTGGACAAGAGGCAGCGGAGGGGTACTTGTACAAAGGGGATGTAATTAAGAAGACAGAGATAGGGCAATCTTACCCGCAGACTGTATTTGGGGTCAGATCTGAGTAGAGAGCAAATGTTTGCAGTATTCATGTGACAGTGGTTGAAACTGGACCAGATCCTGCAGAACATAGGTTAGAGATCGACACGCATCTGACGCCATCCGTTTCTGTCTACTCACTAACACACCGTATCCCGGCTTACAAGTCACAAATCACCGCATCACCTAGAACGCCTGTACAAAAAGCTGCTGTTTTCATAGGTATTCATACCCATCATTGTACATCGGCGTATTCACTCCTAAGAGCGTCTTATCTTCATGCTGCCATCATGACATGAGTTGCATTTGCTTCTTTTTTTTTACCAACACAGCTCCACTGCCCTTTAAATGGTAACAGTGTTGGCTTAAGAGAGTGCATCTGATCTTCTATGATTAGCTGAAGAGATTTCATGATCTTATCACATAGACGAAGAGCCTGGAGTCTAGAGACTCGGCTAATTGGCCTTTCTTCTTTTGTAAGTGGCCAAGCCAAACCCAGAAGTGCCATCTGACAGATATTTTGAAGGACTTTGATCTGTTCTCCTTAAGTTCATGCTTTCTATTTTCTTACTATCGTCCCCTACCAGAGATCTGTGTCAGCTGGTTTAAACCCACACAGTCATTAAGAACAAAGGCTTTTGTACCAAAGGGACTCTGGATTCAGGACCTGCCTTTTAGTCTACCTGGAAAGTCATTTAGCCTATCAAGCCATCAGGTGTGTGGTGTGTGTGTGGGGGTGTAAAATGACTTCTTCCCTGGCTGTGTGGGAAGCACATGAGTCCCTGGCACACCAATTTACAGAAATGTGCCAATGGTTGTTACTACCTTGATGTTTCTTTTCAGTTATTTGTGTTTTCATTATGAAAAATGTAAATGTATTCAAACCAGACAGTTGAGCTTTTTGATAGGATTAGAAGTAAGTTTAGGAGGTGTGGCCTTGTTAGAGAAGTGTAGGGGTCAACTTTGAAGTTCCAAAAGCCCAGGTCAGACAGAGGTCAGGATATATCTCTTTAGCTTCTTCTTCTGCACTACGCCTTCCTGCAGCCATGCTCCTGCCGTGATAATAGACTAAGCCCCTGATTATGTAAGCAAGCCTCCAATTAAATGCTTTCCTAGGTAAGAGATGCCTTGGTCAAGGTGTCTCTTCACAGCGATAAGCTGACTAAGGT